GGACAAGAAGGTCCGTGTCGAACCGCTCGCGGAGGTGGAGACAGACAGCGCGGATCAAAAGGATCAAGGCATCAGGGACCTCACCCTTGCTGCGCAAGGGGAAGACGGTGGTGTAGCGCGAGTAGTCATCGACAACCAGCAGAAAGTACCGCTCGCCGCCTTGTCCACGAACGCGGGCTGGGCCCCACACGTCCATGTGAAGGGTTTGTAGAAGAGCCTCTGTCGGGGGAAACGAGGAGAGAGAAGCGACGCGCTGCCGCCCCTCGACGCAAGGAATGAAGGGCGGGGCAGGGGAGCACGGGAGGGAGGATAGAGACCTAGGAAGGCTAGAGACAAGGAAGCGGGAGTGCATGCCACGGAGGCGTGGCAGAGAGGGGTGACGAAGGCGGTGGTGCTAGAGGAGAGTCTGGTGTGAGAGGTGGCGACACGCACAAGGGGCTCTGCCTGACCGGACACAGCTACCGGACCTAACGCAGCTACATGGGGAGACTCAGTAGTCAGTGTGTACAGGCTTGACCCAGGCCGACGGGTGAACGTGGTCAGGTGACGGCTAGTCCTTGCACACGTGCAGATTGCCACACGCTGCCATGCAGGGGTGAAGGTATTAACCCCCTCATCCTGAAGGGCAGCGTTGCTCACCAAGTTCGCCGAGAACGAGGGGAGGTGGAGACCTGACAGTGAGCCGGACGGAAATGCCGGACATGGGAGAACAGTGGTGGAACGTGCAGGCACCGGGCCCCCCGAGGGGTCAGCTAGGGAGACTGCAACGGGTCTAGTGAGTGGTGTGAGTGTGGTACTGTCGCGAAAGAAGCAGCGAGTGGCACCTGAGTCAAGTGTGAAGGTGTGCAAGGCCTCAGCAAGCGCAGTTACAGAGAGAGCAGACTCACTAGCACCTAGAGCAGCAGTCGGTATACCTGGGTTAGGCGGCACACACAAGTAACAGTCACCCTCAGCACTAGTAGACAAAGCATACACGCGAGTAAGGATAGCATCATAGTCAAGATCAAAGATTTCAACACCAGCCCTAAGCAGATCTGCCCAGCGGGGCATCTCATGATCATCGCCAAACTCATTGCGCCAAGCATAGTCTAGGCGAGAGAAGCAACGGTACTGGATGTGAGGCTTGCCGCACATCTGACTCGACTCTTGCGGTCACCAGTGCGAATGACGTACGGGCAGGAAGCACTACCCCCAGACACCCGGCGCTAAGCATACCAGTCACGAAGCTGCTGGGACGAGAGGGTCTCATGCTGGCGCTGCTGCTGCTGCTGCCGCTGACCACCTCCAGTCCGCCCACCACTGCTGTTGCCACCTCCACTGCCGCCACCATCACCACTGCCCCCACTACGTCCACTGTCACCACGACCACCGCCACCGGCACCCCCGCCGCTGCCGCCATCCCCGCCACCAACTCCCCCACTCCCGCCACCACTCCCAATGCCACCTCCGCCACCTCCACCACCTCCACCGCCTCCACCACCACCGCCTCCACCGCTGCCACCCCCACCACCCTTGCCTCCCTTGCCCCTGCCACTGCGGCGCCTCCCACTAGGAGCAGAAGCAGGACCAACCCCTCAGCACCAAGGAAGTCGACAGCAGCAGAAGAAGCGACAGAGTGGGCAAGGGTGGAGGGGGAGGACCCCTCAAAGAAGGGCGTGCGGGGAGTGCCACGAGCAGCACATACAGCAACGATGTTGGTCTCAACTGCTAGGAGGTGCTTCGAGAGCAGGTCGATAGTGAGGTCTGTGGGGCGAAGGGCGAGAAGGGTGTCCCAGACTGCGCTAAGAGAGTTGGGGAGGCGAGAGACTATAAAGTAGAGAGTGATGTAGATCAGGGGCTCATTCTTGGGTACAAACTCGGTGGGGAGGGCTGCACGGTAGCGAGCGTCAATAGTGCGGAGGTGGGTGATGAGGTCGTCTACATTGTCGAAAGAGGACAGCTCGGGAAAGAGGTAGGGGAGGATGACGCGACCTAGAGCTGCAGTGGTAGGGGAAGAGTAGCATGCGACAACAGTGTCGTACAGTTCTTTGGCCGTTTTAGTCTGATCAAAGTGCTCGCGTTCGGCTATCGGCAGGTGGTTACGAACAGCTAAGCGAGCGGCAGCGTCACAAGTGAGCCATTTCGAGCGAGCCGTACTATCGGCAGAGGTGGCAGGGGCAGGACGAGCTCTAGACGTGAGGTCAAATCAGGAGACATCGTCCTTAGAGTCGCTAAGGAGGAATAGCTGTAGGTCCTGCAGCCAAGTTTCGAACTTAATAGGGCGGCCGTCAGGATCAAACTCAAGGACGCTGAGGGCGGCCGTCAGGATCAAACTCAAGGACGCTGAGGGAGGCCATAGCGCCGCAGTGAAGGGTAGCGTAAGTGGGCGTGCGGTAAGTAAGGCGGCGCACGGGCTGCAAAAGCTGCTAGGGAGCCGCGCGGGCTGCAGGGCAAAGCTCAGGCCGCGCGGGCAGCAGGCGAACGACGAGGGGGCCGGCAGGAACTGCGCGCGGGCATGAGAAGGCGGCGTGCAGGCCGCAAAGGCAGCGCGCAGGCGGCGCGGGCTGCTAGCGGGCGGCGCGCGGGCCGGCAGAAGCTGCACGTGGGCTGCGCGGGCAGCGGGCGGGCCGCGCGGGCTGCTAGCAGGCGGCTCGCGGGCCGGCAGGAGCTGCGCGGGCAGTGAGCGGGCCACGTGGGCTGCTAGCGAAGGGCGCGCGGGCCGGCAAGAGCTGTGCGCGGGCTGCGCGGGCAGCGCACGGGCGACGCGCGGGCCTGCAGAGGATGCGCGCAGGCTGGCAGGGGCGACGCGCGGGTCGCGCGGGTTGCAGGCGGGCAAGGCGCGGGTTGGAGCGGCGGCGCGGCACAAGGCAGGGCAGGGCGTGCGCGGGGCTGCGCAACGCAAGGCAGGGCAGGGCAGGGCGTGCGCTGGCGGCGCAACACAGGGCAGGGCGCGGGGTAGCGCGGTAACCGTAGTCGGTTGGTGGGCCCTAAAAAAAACCGGTCCTAAGGACCTACTGCTCTGAATACCATATCAGAACTAAGAGCACAAAATGGATGAACTATGAGAGTGTTAGGTACAAATAGAAACCCTCAAGGGGTTGTACTCCATATTGGCTACCCCATTAAAGCGTACATATTATACTATAACATATATAGTTTGACAATGAACTCGACACCTTTCTTGGCATTGCACTGCACCTTTTATAGTAGAGACTTCTTGCAATGTATCGGCTTGATATCTATGGATGCCTGCCAACAGATTAGGTATTTTCCCTAAACTAGCGAACCTCATCTTCACTTGGAGTCACATTGTATGACAGCAGCTTCACAATAACAACCACCCCTCCTCCCGCCCTCCTCTTCCTCCCCGTCCTGATACCGTATAATGGAACTGGAGCCTGCAATCATGTGGTGCAGTTACAGTATTACAGGCTCCAACCAATCCAAGAGCCAGTATTTGTACCATTCCATTCCGCTGATGCCAGTACCAATTGGGCAGATTCTAAGTTGCAACCCAATGGCTTCCAACGCTTTGTAGTGGTGATGCTGGTGGAGGTACGGCTGGCGAACCTGGTACCCTTGAGACGTCTCAAGTTACTTGTTTTTTTCTCCTCTTGCTCCGCCCCCTCCCCCCTCCCTCACTTCCCTCCCCACCTTCCATCTCATTCAGCCTGCTAGACAGCGTCCTTCCATTATTGGCCCCACATGGCCATACCCCAAGTCGCACAAGTCTAGCTCGGCCATGAATTCCACCACTCCTGCCAGCAGAGCATGCAACGCATTTCGTCTTGAGAAAAAAAAAAAAACAAAAAACAAAAAACAAAAACAAAACAGAACAAAACCAAAAAGACAAAGACCAAGGAAGAAAAAAAAAGGCGAACGTGCAGCACGGAAACAAATCAAAACACAAACATGCACACGCACAGCAATACTTCGCGTGCAGACCGCGAGTGCAGCAGACTAACACATGGTTACGGAAAATGTTCAAATACAAGCACATCATCTCACTCACCCGTCCTTGAGCCTCAGGCGGTGGAGCAGGCGGAGGAGGTGAGGAAAAATCCATTCCCCATCGCTCCACGTCCAGCGTATCAAACATCTCGCGGTGCTTGCTAATGTCATGCTCGTACCCCCGGTTCCCTCCACACGGCTCTGACCCCGCTAGCAGGATGGCTGCCTGGGCACACACTAGCTTATCCACAATCGCCACCACCTCTGCCAGCAGTGCAACGCAAACCATGTATTCTAGTACTACGAACTGATAAAATCGTTTCAGGGCTAAGAGCGGTATTTCATATTATGTATGTTTCCTAAAGTGTAGAATTTACAATATAATTACAACATACATACACTTGCATGAGGTGTGTCACCTGTCTTGAGTGCGGTGCGCTCTCATCACTCCTTACATCCTTCGGTTCTTCCTAATCTTTGCCGACCACTTTTGATGTTACTGCCACCTCTCCTTGCCTTTGTAAATCTCCTTTGTTTACTTGGTCATCCTTTACGGACATCCTTCCATTTGTTCCCTTTTACCTTTGTTTCCTCTTACCTGAAGAACTTTCTTCCTCCTTACACAACACACGCAAATTCAAGAACGCTCGCACGCACACGCACATACATGCATGCATATGCACACGCACGCACACACACACACACACACACACACACACACACACACACACACACACACACACACACACACACACACACACACACACACACACATACACACACAGAAAAACACACACACTGACCAAACCATCCGTGTTACATCCTCCCCTCCACACACAACGGCGACACATGACTGCCAATGATCAATCGCAAAAGACGTATGCCACCGGATTCTACTCACTGGGATCATGCGAGTTGAGAGCCGGAATCAGCGCGTCAAGAATCACACCTACAAACCTACTCACTGGGATCTCGAAGCGGCTTCCCAATCATGACCGTGCCACACGCTCACAAGAGAGCGAAGCCAATGCAGCTGCCATAGAGGCGGCTCAAGAATCAACCCCACAAACCTACTCACCAGGATCGTACGAGTTGAGAGCGGGTATAAGCTCATCAATCATATACGTGCCGTTGACACGAGACCGCAGCGAGTGCAGCTGCTGTGCCGCTATGCTGGTAACCGGCGTTTCAAACAGCCACTCCATGTACCCCCAAGAGCTGGACCGCGAGGGCGCACTAGATGCATTGTACGGCACGTCGGCGGCTATGAAGACAGCGGTTATGTTGTGCTGCTGCTTCACCGCGTTGATGTGCTGCACGGCGCTCTCCGTGCACCACTGCATCTGCTGCTGGAGCATCGTTGCGTTGCTGTGCCCGTTTGGGAGCAGCTGGTTGTCCGACATCTGCGGGTGGGCCGCAGGGAATAAAAAAACGCATGGGGTGTCGAGTGGTGTTGGTCATGCGGATGTGGTGCAGGGGGGTTGTGGTGCAGGGGGGTTTGTGGTGCATGCATGTAGGGTGTGATGTTTGGAAAGCCGGGCCCTAATGCAATCCATTCCTTCCACGCTCATGCCGTGCCTACCACTCTGAAGGCATATGTGTTCTCTGCGGGAATGCACAGCAAGCAAAGGCTTGGGGAGACGCTCCAAAGTGTATTTTCAGTCGATTCAATATACAGCTCTACTTTTGCCTACCGCTCATGCCTTGCCGTGCGTACCACTCTGAAGGCAATGAACTCGGAGCGGAAATGCACCGCCAGGAAGGGCTTGGGGAGGCGCTCCGCAATGCGCGCAGCGAGGTAGTGCAACTCATGGTTGTACGGCAGCTGCTGCAGCGCTATGTCGTCCGTGTGTGGCTCAAAGGACACGCGCTCCCACGTGGTCTTGAACCACAGCACCACGTCCTTGTCCCTCCTGTGCTCACACGTGGGATCGGGGGTGGGTGTGGCGGAGTTTGAGACGTCTCAGACTTCGAAGCACACACGCTCCCACCTGGTCTTCAACCACACCACAGCACCCCACGTCCTTGTCGCTCCTGTGCTTGTACGTGGGATCCGGGAGTGGGTACAGCAAGGGGTTGGGTGTGGCAGAGTACTGAGACACCTCAAAGTCCACAGTGCACTCGCTCCAATGAGGACTTGAGCCACAGCACCATGTCCTGGTCACTCCTGTTTCCACGGGTGTGGCACCGGGGTTGGGTATGGCCGCAGAGAGCTGGCATGACAGAGTTTTGAGGCGTCTAAAAGCTCACAGTACACGCGCTTCCACGTGGTCTTGAACCACCCCGCCATGTCCTTGTCTCTCCTGTGCTTGCACGTGGCACACGGTTTGGCACGGGGGTTGGTATGTCACCGGAATGGGCGTAGCAGAGGGGTTGGTTGGCATGGTGCACATGGCACACACACTCACGACTTCACATTGTTACCATAGTCTTGTGGCAGCCATGGGGTTGCAGCAGTGGCAAGGATTGCGCACCCTGCCAGCAGCGCACATACTGTTTGCGAACAAGGTTTTCAATGTCGTGTTTGTTAGCAGGCATGTTGAAGAGAACCGTGTTGTGCTCTGTTGGCACGTGGCCCAGCGCGAATGTCAGCAGCTCGCCTGTGAACTCCGACACCATGTCTGCTCGCCCACTCACATGCCGTGGCCCCACGTGTCGTGCCCCACATGCCATGCCCCACAAAGCACCCATTCCACAAGCCATGGCCCCCTGACACACACACACACACACACACACACACACACACACACACACTCACACATAAAGAAGGATGAAATTGGGGTTTCAGTTTCTCATAGAGGGCAGCATGGATGGTGTTGCATATGTAGGAATGGAGTGAGGAAGTGGGAAGGTATAGCATGTGTGAGCGAGATCGAGCAGAGGCAAGCACACACACATGTATGCACGCACACACGCTCGCATGCGCACACACGCACGCACGCACACACACGCGCGCGAGCGAGAGCGGGCGCGCATGCTCACGCACGCACACAGATGCACACATACGCACATACATACGTGCACGTGCGCGAACACACACACACACACACACACACGCACCCACACACACACAAACACACGCACCCACACATACACACACACACACCACACATATATACGCACTCACACACACACACATACGCACACTCATCATGAGTGAGACATATTGCCAGAGCACACTGAGACTCTCACACCCACCCTCACTCACCCACACACTCGCTCTCTCCTCCCACCCATTTACTTGCAAGAGCCGTCCCAGAAACACAATCGAAATGCCCACAGCAAGCCAAACCCCAATGCAAATGCCCACCCCAGACAGAGCATTTGTGGGGGAGGTAAGGCGTGGCCCCAAGCACACCGCCGAAAAGCATGCAAGAACGGACCCCAGTCGAAGGGATTGCGGTTGAGGTAGGGCGATGTGACCCAGGTGAAGCCCACTGAGGGCTCCTTGAGAGCTGCGCGCGCCAGCAGCAGGAAGAGCTCCGGTGATATCCAGGGCGCCGCATCGAAGGGCGTGAGATCCCAGTAGGAGCAGAGCGGCAGCGGGTGCGAGAGGTCTATCCGGCTGTTACTCCCCTGGGATGCTCCCATGCACGCGCGACGGGGAAGTGGGGGGCGAAAGGGGGGAGGGAGAGGGGGAAGGGAGAAAAGGGGGGAAATTGGGGATACGAAGTGGGGAGGGGATAGGGGGAAAGAGAGGAATGTGGGGTGTGAGAGGTCAATCTGGCTGTGACTTCCCTGGGATGCAATGAAGAGCTCGGGACAGAGGAATTAGGAATTGATGGAGTGTACTCAGAGGTGGTGAAGGGGGATTGGTACCTGCGTTCTCGCCAGTGACACCATGCATTCTCATTATTTGGCAGCGCGAACTCTCAGCGGCAGCACTCTCACCAGTGGTAGCACGAGCACGCGGTTGGCCATGCGGGCCACACGAGCGGCCTCCACGAGGTGCGTGCGCGCGTTGCTGAGCTGCTCCTCCGACATGGCGAACACCAGGTACCGCCCTGGCGTACTCAGGTCCAGTCGCTGCAATGCCTGCCAGCAGCCGGAGGGTGTTGGACGGGGAAGAGGGGAGTGGAGGGGAGGAGGGGGATAGGAGGGGAGGAGAGGAAACGGGTGGGAGAGCAGAGAGCCTAGGACATGGAGCAGCAATGGCAATGGTGTACGGCATCCGCCTCCGCTGCTACCCACCCCTGCTAGTCCACTCACGAGTCAGGTCGCCCAGCTTACACTGCGGGAGAAGGGCACGCCAGGCGCGGGCCAGCACGTTTCGGGCCAGTTCCGGCACGTGCTGCCGTGGGCGAGCAGGTTGCTCTGCACGCGGTGCAGGCGGCGACACACGGACTCCATTCCGCGCGCCACTGCTTCCGCGCTCGTGTAGCCGTGCCGCTGCGCGCTCCGCAGCCACGCGCTCTCGTTCACGCCGCCCTGCAAGGCGCGCTGCCACGGCGCCGAGCACAGAAGCGCCACGTCATGCTGCACTCGCAGTCGCTCCGCATTCTGCGCCGCCGCTGGCGGATCTTGCGTGTCGCCCAAGGACCCCGCCGCCTGCGTCTGAGCTACCTCCGCCACCATGCGCGATTCGTGGAGAGCAAGAGTTTCAATGGCGGCGGCTTCTCTCTGCTTGCCCTGTGAAGCCCAATCCTGCAGCGACCGACACAAACTAGCTCGGCAAATGGCGGCGAGACGAGACTCCGACTCCGAATCTAAACCGTTCATAGCATCGCGACTCGGCGCACCGTGGGTCGGCCAGCGCGGCGGCAACCGTCCGGCGGTCCAGGCCAGCCACGAGCCGCGGAAGTCGTGGAAGGGGCGAACCACTACTTCTAGCTCGTCCATGCATATGGGCGGCATGGGCGCGCGGCGCGAGTGGAGAAGAACGATCAACGCGAGTGAGGTAGCGAGCGCGACGACCAGCACGGGCCAAGGAACAACGCCGCCGCCTGCTGGGTCGTGCCGCATCTTGTTGCCATTAGTCCCGCACGCGGCGGCGCGAATCTCGATCGCCGAGTCGGTTTTACCGGAGAGGACGCGGCGAGCGCAGGTGAAGACGACGCCGACCCGCGCCGCGAGGCAGTTCAAGCCGTCTACGAGTAGTCCCAGGCGCGGTCGCATTGCGTTCCGAGGCGCATTCGCGTGGTCTAGAAATTACTACTGTGCGAGTAGAGCTTGTAGAGACCGATTGCCACTCGAGGCGCGCTCGCGACGTGTATCGCTACAAGAGCAAGGCCACAAGGCCAGTTCACATGCAAGATCATATATAAACGTAAACAGGCAAGTGCACGTATAGAAAGATCACAGTACAAGCAAGGTCAAGAAGTGAGCAAGTGAGGCCAAGTAGGCACAAGACCTAGCATCGTACAGAAGCGCTGATGATCACCAGGTGGAAGTGCCTTGGTAAAGATATCAGCTGTGTTGGCCTCAGAGGCCACGTAAGCAAGGCGCAGCTGACCACGGTGCTGCAGCTCACGAGCAAGGAAGTAGCGGATAGCAATGTGCTTCGTTCTGTGCTCCAGTCTGTGCTCCCGACACAAGGCCAGCATGGCCTTGTTGTCTACGTACAGCACTGGAGGAGAACGAGGCGGCTCTCCTAGGTCAGTCAGCAGGTAGGTGAGCCAGCGTAGCTCCTGTGCAGCCATGGCCCCCGCGTAGATCTCAGCCTCACAGCTGGAGCCGAGAACAGAAGACGAGCGGGTAGACCGCCACGAAACAGAGCCGGAACCAAGGCTGAAGGTGTAACCCTGTGACGACCGCTGCGTAGCCTGGTCGTCAGCTCAAGAAGCTTCTGCGTGACCTGTGAGGACCACTGAACGTCGCCCTCCAAGCACTAGCCCCATGCCCGACGTACTGCACAAGTAGCGCAACACCCTCTTCGCTGCAGCCATGTGCTCCGGTCTGTGTCTCCCACGAACAACATAGAGGGTATGCAAGGTCAGGTCGAGTGCAGGTCATCAGGTACATGAGGCAGCCAACAAGCTCTGGGTACGGGCCACTCGGCTCTACGGACTCATCCGAAGGCAGAGCTGAGAGCGAGTGGCGAGTAGACAGAGGAGTGGCCTGAGGCGAGGAGTACGTGAAGTCGAAGCGCTGAAGGACCTGCTGCACCATGTGTGACTGTGTCAGGGTAATGGTGCGCTGTGCTCTGTCCCGGGTGATCTGCAAGCCAAGGTAGCTGCGCAGTTGACCCAGGTCTGTGCACGTGTGTCTCTTCTGCAGCTCGGACTTCACGTGGGCAAGTCCAGCAGTGTCAGCAGTGGCAAAGACCAAGTCGTCGACGTACACGAGGATGTAGAACGGCGGCAAAGGGGTGTCGGTGCGCAGAAACAGCGACGGGTCGGCTGTAGAAGGAGCAAACCCAAGAGCCGCAAGTGTAGTCCTCAGTGTGTCGTGCCACTCACGGGGCGCCTGGCGGAGACCGTAGACTGGCCGCCGGAGGCTCCACTGGGTACCAGGAGGAAACGACCCTGTGAAGCCAAGTGGGCGGCGCAGCCAGATCTCCTCGTGAAGGCTGCCCTGTAGGAAAGCTATGCTGAAGTCAAGAGAGTGAAGCTCGTAGTCGCGCTGAGCGGCTATGTGCAGCAGCACCCGAAGAGTGGTCATCTTCGGGGTGGGAGAGAAGGTCTGAAAATAGTCAACTCCCTGTCGCTGACTGAAGCCTCGAGCCACGTAACGCGCCTTGAAGACAGGCGGAGAACCCGACGGCCGCTTCACCCTGAAAATCCACATGCCACTGACGATGTTCGCCCTAGGTGGGGGAACCTCGTCGACGTAGGTGCCTGTGGACTTCCAGGAAGCCGTCTCTGCGTCCATGGCTGACTGCCACTGAGAGGAGTAGGGACCCTCGATCGCCTCAGCGTACGATCGAGAAGTCGGGATGTCTGGTGCATCCGGGTCTCCCTCAGGGGCAATCAGCGTAGACACGAGATGAGGCAAAGCAGCAGCAAAACACTGGAACTCCTCCTGCGTGTCCTCAAGGACGTCCGTGCTAAGAGCATACTCACCCCCGACGGACGAAGGACAGACAGACACAGACTCAGCAACAAGACTAGTAGCGTAGTCAAGACGACAGCGAGCAGCAAAGTCGACGAGCTCAGCAACTAGGGCCGACGCAGCAGTGGACTCAAAGGAAGGGTCTGTGAGAAATGTAGCCAGGAGACACGTGAAGTAGGACTGGCAGCACGAAGAGAGTCCGACTCCGGGTCAGCAAGAACAGGAAGAGAGGACTCTGGAGGAGATGGCAACGGGACACGCAGAGAAGTAGTGGAAGGACGAAGTGCCATCTGGTGTGTGCCTGGGACCGCAGGAGGACGCGGACGCGGAGCACGACTACTAGTGCGAGCAGCACGAACAGGCGACGCAGGACGAGACGCAGGCTCACGACGCTCAGCAGGACCTGCAGTAGGACCAGTGTAGGGAGAAGGAGCAGGTAGGGGGGAGGCGGTGTGTAACTGTGACTGCGTCTGGATAGGCTGTGGACCCACTAAGGGAGGAGCAGGACCAGTAGAAGGCGGGAGACCAAGAACCTGCTCAAGGAGCGGAACGAAGTACGGCCGCGGCCGCACAGCGCCTCCAAAAAAAGCAGGGACAGCACCAGTACCCCCAGCGCTAGCACCAGCGTCAGCAGCACCTCCACCTCCAGCAGCGCCAACTCTTGCACCTTCAGAAGCACCAACGCCAACACCCCCAGCAGCTCCAGCTCCAGCAGCTCCAGCAGCACCTACTCCAGCAGGACCGGCAGCTCCTGTAGCGCTAGCAGCTCCAGCAGTACGTCCAGCAGGACCAACTCCAGCAGCCCCAGCAGCACCCCCAGTCCCAGCAGCTCCAGTAGCGTCAGTACGAGCACCTCCAGGACCAGCAGCAACAGTAGCACCTCCAGCTCCAGCAGCACGGCACTAGCGCCGGGGAAACCACTCGCGCAGCTCCTGCGGAGAGAGTAGCTCCCGCCTTGACGAAGCACCGCGAGAGGCCACACGAGCAGACCCAGCACCCCCAGGCTACACACCCCCAGGCTCCTTCGTCGTCGCTGCTCGACGACCTTCGTCGAGCACCTTCGCTGAGCACCTCGGTTGACATTTCAAAATTTCAGCTCCTGATTGGTCGAAATCAGGGCACATTCGAATTTCTGGCCAAATTTCGCCTGTGCAGTCTCAACTTTGCGCAGGGTCGGACGCGACCCTGCGCAGACGAACACCCGCGAACTTCTGCACCAGCTGCGCCACTTGTTCATGCGCACGGGAAGACTGTGTTGCACTCGCGGATGCTTCAATTACTCTTACATGGATTCCCTTGAACACCTCGTGTACCGGCAACCCTTGTACACCTGCAGAAGGTAGGCTGCACCTCCCGCACACCCGACCACAAAGTCAGTTTTGCCCATGCGAGGGCAGGGCCAATTTCCTTCAACACTCCCCTGCCGCGCTCACGCTTGGGCACCCCACGCACAAGGTCCACCCAGAACCCAAGGGATAGTATACACTGGGAAAATCCTTCGTCAGGGTGCACACAACACACAGCACGCCGGTCACCGCAGCAGCCGTGCAGAAGGGGACGGCACCTACTGCTGCACATCGTCGTCACCATTGCCAACGTCAGCCAGACGAACTTGGCCGATCGCGACGGAGCACCGGTTTAAGGCCGGAAAGTTCAGCCCCTTCGTCAGGAAGTCAGCTGGCTGCTCAGAGGTTGGGATGTACTTCAGCGCAATCTTCCCACGCTTCACCATCTGCTGCAGCCAAGCATAACGTCGCTCCATGTGCTTGAGGTTGCCCTTCAGCCCCAAGCCTTCCGCGACAGTGATGGCCGACTGGTTGTCCACACGAAGGACAGTCGACATCCCAGGGTCTAGCAGCTTGAACTTTGCAAGGAGGAAGCGAAGTCGACGAGCCTCCTTGCCAGCTTGCATAGCCGCAACGTACTCCGACTCAGTCGAGGAGAGCGTCGCACACTTGATGCGCTGGCTCCACCAGGAAACTGCGGCCCCTCCGAAGACGAACACATAGCCACCCGTGCTCGTCCGGTCCTGCTTGTCGCCCGCGTCGTCAGCGTCCACGTAGCCGACTAGGCACAGTGACTCTGGTCCACCGCCAAACTCCAAAACGGTGTCACTGGCGTCGGCGAGGTAGTGCAGGCAGCGGTCAACTTCGCGCCAGTGGTTATCACTCCGCACCGTCACGCCGCTTCCCAGCTTGCTGCACGCGAACGCGATGTCTGGCCTCGTCGTCGTTGTCGCGAACTGCAGCGAGCCAACCTTCTGCTAGTACTCTTCCTCCTCGCGCGCCTGAGCATCCTCGTCATCGAATGCCAGCTCCGTATAGGCGTCGACGGAGACCGGCGTCTTCGAGATGCGGCCAGTCTGCTCCTCATCGATGAAACGCCTGCGTAAATTGTCGACGTACGACTGCTGGTGCAGCCACAACTTCCTTGCTGACCTGTCGCGGACGATTTCCAGCCCAAGGTACCTCTCAACCGGGTTGATCTCGCGCAGCTCAAAAGCAGCCTCCAGCAACTCCTTCAGCTCTTTCAGCATCGCGAGGCTGCTGCTGGCAGCAAGCAGGTTGTCAACGTAGACAAGCACCCAGCACATCACTCCTCCATCGCCGACCTTGAAGTAGAGAGCCTCGTCAACCTGGCTTTTTTTCTAGCCGGCGCCCAGCAGCACTCCGTCGAGGGCCGTGTACCACAGCAGGGGTGACTGCTTCAGTCTGTAGAGGCTTTTCAACAGCTTGCACACCCGGCCAGTTCCATCGTCATAGTATTCTGGTTGGTACATGTATAGCACCCTGTCCAGCTTACTCTGCAGGAATGCATTCTTCATGTCAAGCTGCATCAGGTGCAAGTCGTGGACAGCGACGATGCTGAGGAAGGTCCTCAGCTTGACGTAGCTGCTGACCGGCGCGTACGTCTCTTCGTAGTCGGCGCCGTACACCTGCGTGAAGCCTTTCACGACCAAGCGTGCCTTCTGACGAGCGACCGTATCATCGATGGGTACTTCGTCGTCAGCACCCACCGGTTCCTTATAATGTTCACCCCGCGTGGACGTTCGAACAGCTCCCATGTGCCGTTGGCGATGAGGTTGCGAATCTCCTCGTCCATCGCCCCCTTCACCGCCTTGCCTT